TTTTGCGTCGAAAAATCAATCAATATTTTTTATAGCGTTTAGTTATATAAATTTGTAACGTTTTTACGTTCATGAATAGTAAAAAACCGTTCAGAACTTCCTCTATTTGTATTAGAACATTTTTAGTTTCCGAATAATCGGAATTTTAGGCCAACTCCCAGCTGAAACTTGACTTCCAAACCACTGACACCCAACGGCGCACCCTGGAGGATCAGCTGGACGTGACGAGGCGACGCGAGGCTGGTCGGTGCTTTTCGTACGGCTTTAGAAATAAAATAAAAACAGATAAAAAATGACATCGGAATTCGTTTAGGGGTGACAGAGCAGGCCGCCAATGCTGAGAAGGAGGTGCGGAGGCTGTCTGAGGAATTGCGAGAAGCCCAGAAAGCCGTCACGCAATACAAACAGGACATGAGGTAAAATAGTGAATTTCGATTTGCTACCATAATGTCGAAATTCATAATGCCGAAATTCAGACTTACAATTTTTTTTGCATAGGATTTGGGGTTTTTTTCGGGAAAATTAGCTTATGTAAATTTTGACATTCTTAATTTCGTCATTATAAAATTTCGGAATTATGAATTTCGACATTTTGATAGAAACCCGTGAACTTCAGTTGTTTGTTTCTTTAGAAAAATCGAGTTAAACCAGACGAACGCGTCAGAGCGGCTGAAGGAGGAGAAGGTGTGTGTGGTCTTTTCGAGGCGTAACAACTTTATTCAGAAAACGTACCTCAACAATCTGCAACAGGAATGGAACGGGTTGAAGAGTCGGCTGGAGAAGGAGCACGGGGCTGAGGTTAGTCATGCTTCGTACTTGATGCCCCTGGTTTAGATGGCCGCACTGCGAGGCCAATCCGAGCGACTACAGACTGAGCTCGACGACATGCAACACGAACTTCGGGCCGCCCTTCATAAGGTTTGCTCCAGGTCGTTTCCGGTGGAACACGTTGTTTTTAGATCCGCGAGCTGGAGCACGGCCGGATGGCGTTTGAGCAGCGGACCAGCGAGGACCTGCAGCGTCGCATGATGGTCAAGTACCGCGATCTGGTGCAGGACCTGGCGCCGCGACGAGGTAACGTGTTTTGTGCGCAGAAGTTTTGCATGCAATGCCGTGCAGGCAAAGCAATTTTGTTATGCCCGAAATTCTCTTATTTAAAAAAACATGCAGGTTTGTAATTTCAGGTGCATTTTTTGCTAATATAGATATAGGAAATGTCTGTCCGTGTTTTTACCATACCTTACAGATTGTTATTAAACCTACAAAAAAAAAAAAATAGATTTCTCGATCAATATTTTTAAAAATCGTAGTTTAAAAGACTCTTTTGTATTTTTAAAATGTTTTTTTCCATGTGAAACAGGCCGCATTTTATTAATAAATTTATAATGTGCCTAGATTTTCTATGGCTTGCGAATGCGTTTGTGCGATGTTTCTAAGTATTCCAGAGCCTAAAAACTTTACAAATTTTCATTAAAAATTTAATTTTAGGTCGAAAAATTGATTTTTTCGACTAAAAATGATCAAATTTTCGGCTTTTCAAAAGACCCACAAGAAAAATAGTGAGATATTCTTTTTTTTTGCAGAAGTCTCCCCTCCCACCATTCCTCCAAGCTATCGGGCGCCGTTCGACCAAGAGAATGCTGGTGAGCGCGTTTTCAACCTTCTTCAACCCCCGTCCCGAATTTAGGCCCCTCCGATCAGCCACCCGAGAAGATGGGCCGTAAAGAAGCCCTCACCTCCGTGATCACGAAAGCCCTGCAGAACCGCCAGAAACGCCACTGATCTCCGTTTTGAATATATTTTGCGTCTCACCGTTGTTTATGTGATTACTCGAATGATTCTGCCCAATTTCTGGGCACTACTTGCCCCCTGCCATTAGCCCCCGAAACTTGCTGTCGACTAACATAAACGGTTGCACATAGCAGTGCCGATTTATTCTAGCGCAACAGATTGTACACCGGCACCTTCTCGCGTGGCATGAAGCCGTCGTCGAAATCTGGAAAATTTCCGCGATTTTTGAGGCAAGGGAGAGAGAAAGAGAGAAAGAGAGACAGCGAGAGAGCGAGAGAATACACCCACCGTAGCAGATATCACTGCAAACGTACAACACTCGACCCCCCGAGCGCAGGTAGCAACAGTTGAAGGCCGAGGCTGCTGCTAAAAGTTGCGAAATTTCCGGTTTTTTCCAGCTCTTGTCTTTTCTGCCATTTTTCTGTACATATTCGCCCCAGGAATACACTTTAGAACCCCTAAAATAACGCACCTAGGCAGAACACGAGCACACAGAGCAGCGGCAGCAGTTTCGGCGCCATCCCGATGTTTCTCAAACAGCTAGGAGCTGCTATTTTTGAAGAGCGAAAATGAAAACAAAAAAAAAAGGAAGAGATGCCTGCACTCGCGTAAATTGTTTTGTGGCGGCTTTTGTCTGGTGCTCCTTCAGCAGGATGCTAATGATTAGAGTCCCAGGGGAGGGCCAGAGCAAGTTTCAGGGGGCCGGCCAGCTAGCAGAGACCGCTGAGGAAGGGGAGAGGGCAGGCTAGCAGAGATTGTTGAGGAAGAGGAGAGGGCAAGCTAGCAGAGATTGTTGAGGAAGAGGAGAGGGCAGGCTAGCAGAGATTGTTGAGGAAGAGGAGAGGACAGGCTAGCAGAGATTGTTGGGGAAGAGGAGAGGGCAGGCTAGCAGAGATTGTTGAGGAAGAGGAGAGGGCAAGCTAGCAGAGATTGTTGAGGAAGAGGAGAGGACAGGCTAGCAGATATTGTTGAGGAAGAGGAGAGGACAGGCTAGCAGAGATTGTTGGGGAAGAGGAGAGGGCAGGCTAGCAGAGATTGTTGAGGAAGAGGAGAGGGCAAGCTAACAGAGATTGTTGAGGAAGAGGAGAGGGCAAGCTAACAGGGACCGTTTGAGAAGTGATTTCTCATTTAAAGATCCAGGAACACCTCGTGCGACTCCGGAAAAATGACACGAAGGAAATGGAGGAGGTGGAAGCGACCGGGTTGGAAAACGAAACACACGCTCCTCCCCATCACATTTCATCAAATTTTCATGGGCCCGCCCGGGCGCGAATAATTAGGGGGTTTTCGGCATTTTTTAACTAACGCCGATGCCGATGCGCAGAGATGGTAATGGATGTCTGGATGTGATGGGATGGGATTTGTGGGGAAAGTGGGGGTTCTTTCGCATTATCCGGGGGGTGGACTTTTTTGTATAGGTCTAGAAATGCCTCTAAGTTAATAAAAAGTGCCTGAATAGAGTTTTTAGTAATATATAACGATATCTTAACTAGTAAAACTATCTAAAAACTTTTAAAAAAATCGGAATTTCGCTCAAACTCGACGTTTTTGGTCGAAAACTCCATTTTTCTTACCATTTTTGGGCTTATAAAAATTTGTAAACTTTTCACGTTTAGTAATAGTAAAAACCATTTAGAAAGACTTTCACTATTTATGTTTGTAAAATTAATTTATTTTGTAAAAAGTTTTTTTTTGGTATGGAGCCAGGATGATGTGGGGTTTTTATTTTGAGGAATTTCGTGGCTAAGAAAATACGTATAAATACGTAAATACGTATCTGCGTCAGAAATGGCTACCATTGAGGCGGCAAAACAGCTTTCGTAGCCGCCGCGGAAAGCCAATTGTTCGGCCAAGGATTGGTGGAGGGCCGTGCCGATTGGATATTAGCTGGGGGGGCAGACTAGCAGAAATTATTAGGGAAATAGGACACGTTTAGTGCGTTTATTTGCTTCATTGTAACCTTGCATCAATTTAGGATGTTTTCTTAATTCTGGCTTTTCTTCGTCGTCGAGCTGTTCATCTGCGAGTCGCTGTTGGAGTGCTAAAAAGTGCGTCATCGTTTTTTTTTGGTTTTTTACCTGGTTGGTCACTTCAGCAGTCGTGGAAACGGAAGATCCGCGAGCCGACGTGCCGAAGATGGCGCGACGGAGCGTTAGGCGGTATTCCTGAAACGGCAGGCTAGCAGAGATTGTTAGGGAAGAGGAGAGGGCAGGCTAGCAGAGATTGTTGAGGAAGAGGAGAGGGCAGGCTAGCAGAGACTGTCCAGGAAGAGGAGACGGCAGGCTAGCGGGTGTTGAGGAAGGGAGGGAGACAGGCTAGCGGGGATCGTTGAGGGAGGAGAGGTCAGGCTAGCAGGATGTTGAGGAAGAGGGAGGGCAGGCTAGCGATGTTGAGGAAGAGGAGAGGGCAGGCTGGCAGGTTGTTGAGAAGAGAGAGGGCAGTTGCAGAGATTGTTGAGGAGGGAGAGGGGCAGGCTTGCAGAGTTGTTAGGAGAGGAGGCAGGCGCAGGGTGTTGGGGAGAGGAGGCGAGCAGGCTCGCAGAGTTGTTGCGGAAGAGGAGGGGCAGGCTAGCGAGATTGTTGAGGAAGAGGAGAGGGCAGGCTAGCAGAGATTGTTGAGGAAGAGGAGAGGGCAGGCTAGCAGAGATTGTTGAGGAAGAGGAGAGGGCAGGCTAGCAGAGATAGTTTATGCGGTTCTGACCTTCACGAAATAGATGACAGCTAGCGGCTCGAAGATGGGGTAAAGTGAGATGCACATCGTCGCCCATTCCAGGTTGACCTCCTCCCCGAGCATCGGCACCAGGAAGATGGATGTGCATGGGATGTACTCGAGGATGATGGGCACGATAAACTAGGGGGAAATCTTGCACCCAATTCCCAGGTCTACCTGTATCATTAGTGCCTGGAAGAGCTGCTTCTGCAGTCGATACCCGCGGACGCTGCCCATCTCGGCGCTCCGCAGCTTTTCGTGCATCTTCCAGCCGCACACGAAGATCACTGAAACGTGAGGGAGTAATTTGATGTACTGTGGAATTCGACTTTTACTACCGTACCACAGAACATCGAGCTCATCATGGTCATGCAGGCAGCAAGAGCAATCCAAGGGCGCATGTTGAAGTGCAGACCGGTGTTGTCACGGATCTGAAATTTTAAACGTTTTCCTCAACAATCTCTGCTAGCCTGCCTCTCCTCTTCCTCAACAATCTCTGCTAGCCTGCCCTCTCCTCTTCCTCAACAATCTCTGCTAGCCTGCCCTCTCCTCCTTCCTCAACAATCTCTGCTAGCCTGCCTCTCCTCTGCCTCAACAATCTCTGCTAGCCTGCCCTCTCCTCTTCCTCAACAATCTCTGCTAGCCTGCCTCTCCTCTTCCTCAACAATCTCTGCTAGCCTGCCCTCTCCTCTTCCTCAACAATCTCTGCTAGCCTGCCTCTCCTCTTCCTCAACAATCTCTGCTAGCCTGCCCTCTCCTCTTCCTCAACAATCTCTGCTCGCCTGCCCTCTCCTCTTCCTCAACAATCTCTGCTAGCCTGCCCTCTCCTCTTCCTCAACAATCTCTGCTAGCCTGCCCTCTCCTCTTCCTCAACAATCTCTGCTAGCCTGCCCTCTCCTCTTCCTCAACAATCTCTGCTAGCCTGCCCTCTCCTCTTCCTCAACAATCTCTGCTAGCCTGCCCTCTCCTCTTCCTCAACAATCTCTGCTAGCCTGCCCTCTCCTCTTCCTCAACAATCTCTGCTAGCCTGCCTCTCCTCTTCCTCAACAATCTCTGCTAGCCTGCCCTCTCCTCTTCCTCAACAATCTCTGCTAGCCTGCCCTCTCCTCTTCCTCAACAATCTCTGCTAGCCTGCCCTCTCCTCTTCCTCAACAATCTCTGCTAGCCTGGCCCTCTCCTCTTCCTCAACAATCTCTGCTAGCCTGCCCTCTCCTCTTCCTCAACAATCTCTGCTAGCCTGCCCTCTCCTCTTCCTCAACAATCTCTGCTAGCCTGCCCTCTCCTCTTCCTCAACAATCTCTGCTAGCCTGCCCTCTCCTCTTCCTCAACAATCTCTGCTAGCCTGCCCTCTCCTCTTCCTCAACAATCTCTGCTAGCCTGCCCTCTCCTCTTCCTCAACAATCTCTGCTAGCCTGCCCTCTCCTCTTCCTCAACAATCTCTGCTAGCCTGCCCTCTCCTCTTCCTCAACAATCTCTGCTAGCCTGCCCTCTCCTCTTCCTCAACAATCTCTGCTAGCCTGCCTCTCCTCTTCCTAACACTCTGCTAGCCTGCCTCTCCTCTTCCTCAACAATCTCTGCTAGCCTGCCTCTCCTCTTCCTCAACAATCTCTGCTAGCCTGCCCTCTCCTCTTCCTCAACAATCTCTGCTAGCCTGCCCTCTCCTCTTCCTCAACAATCTCTGCTAGCCTGCCCTCTCCTCTTCCTCAACAATCTCTGCTAGCCTGCCCTCTCCTCTTCCTCAACAATCTCTGCTAGCCTGCCCTCTCCTCTTCCTCAACAATCTCTGCTAGCCTGCCCTCTCCTCTTCCTCAACAATCTCTGCTAGCCTGCCCTCTCCTCTTCCTCAACAATCTCTGCTAGCCTGCCCTCTCCTCTTCCTCAACAATCTCTGCTAGCCTGCCCTCTCCTCTTCCTCAACAATCTCTGCTAGCCTGCCCTCTCCTCTTCCTCAACAATCTCTGCTAGCCTGCCCTCTCCTCTTCCTCAACAATCTCTGCTAGCCTGCCCTCTCCTCTTCCTCAACAATCTCTGCTAGCCTGCCCTCTCCTCTTCCTCAACAATCTCTGCTCGCCTGCCTCTCCTCTTCCTCAACAATCTCTGCTAGCCTGCCCTCTCCTCTTCCTCAACAATCTCTGCTAGCCTGCCCCTCTCCTCTTCCCCAACAATCTCTGCTAGCCTGCCCTCTCCTCTTCCTCAACAATCTCTGCTAGCCTGCCCTCTCCTCCTCCTCAACAATCTCTGCTAGCCTGCCCTCTCCTCTTCCTCAACAATCTCTGCTAGCCTGCCCTCTCCTCTTCCTCAACAATCTCTGCTAGCCTGCCCTCTCCTCTTCCTCAACAATCTCTGCTAGCCTGCCCTCTCCTCTTCCTCAACAATCTCTGCTAGCCTGCCCTCTCCCTCTTCCTCAACAATCTCTGCTAGCCTGCCCTCTCCTCTTCCCTCAACAATCTCTGCTAGCCTGCCCTCTCCTCTTCCTCAACAATCTCTGCTAGCCTGCCCTCTCCTCTTCCTCAACAATCTCTGCTAGCCTGCCCTCTCCTCTTCCTCAACAATCTCTGCTAGCCTGCCCTCTCCTCTTCCTCAACAATCTCTGCTAGCCTGCCCTCTCCTCTTCCTCAACAATCTCTGCTAGCCGCCCTCCTCTTCCTCAACAATCTCTGCTAGCCTGCCCTCTCCTCTTCCTCAACAATCTCTGCTAGCCTGCCCTCTCCTCTTCCTCAACAATCTCTGCTAGCCTGCCCTCTCCTCTTCCTCAACAATCTCTGCTAGCCTGCCCTCTCCTCTTCCTCAACAATCTCTGCTAGCCTGCCCTCTCCTCTTCCTCAACAATCTCTGCTAGCCTGCCCTCTCCTCTTCCCCAACAATCTCTGCTAGCCTGCCCCCTCCTCTTCCTCAACAATCTCTGCTAGCCTGCCCTCTCCTCTTCCTCAACAATCTCTGCTAGCCTGCCCTCTCCTCTTCCTCAACAATCTCTGCTAGCCTGCCCTCCCCTCTTCCTCAACAATCTCTGCTAGCCTGCCCTCTCCTCTTCCTCAACAATCTCTGCTAGCCTGCCCTCTCCTCTTCCTCAACAATCTCTGCTAGCCTGCCCTCTCCTCTTCCTCAACAATCTCTGCTAGCCTGCCTCTCCTCTTCCTCAACAATCTCTGCTAGCCTGCCCTCTCCTCTTCCTCAACAATCTCTGCTAGCCTGCCCTCTCCTCTTCCTCAACAATCTCTGCTAGCCTGCCCTCTCCTCTTCCTCAACAATCTCTGCTAGCCTGCCCTCTCCTCTTCCTCAACAATCTCTGCTAGCCTGCCCTCTCCTCTTCCTCAACAATCTCTGCTAGCCTGCCCTCTCCTCTTCCTCAACAATCTCTGCTAGCCTGCCCTCTCCTCTTCCTCAACAATCTCTGCTCGCCTGCCTCTCCTCTTCCTCAACAATCTCTGCTCGCCTGCCCCTCTCCTCTTCCTCAACAATCTCTGCTAGCCTGCCTCTCCTCTTCCTCAACAATCTCTGCTCGCCTGCCTCTCCTCTTCCTCAACAATCTCTGCTCGCCTGCCCTCTCCTCTTCCTCAACAATCTCTGCTAGCCTGCCCTCTCCTCTTCCTCAACAATCTCTGCTCGCCTGCCCTCTCCTCTTCCTCAACAATCTCTGCTCGCCTGCCCTCTCCTCTTCCTCAACAATCTCTGCTCGCCGCCTTTAGGTCCCCT